TTAAAAATCTTTTTAAAATTAAAGAAATAAGAAATAATTGTATTAAAAATTCAATTTTCATTGAAAAAATTTTTTGCTTTCAGAAAATATTGTCCATATTCATAAAAACAAATTAAAACAAATAAAAGCATTTGAAACTAAATAATATATTTGTTTTATTGAGTTTTGTATGTTACAATTCACAGCTGATTTTCAGGTACGTTGGCCAAAAAAAAAAAAAAAAAAAAAAAAAAAAAACATGATTTGCATTCTTCAAAGCCTTGTGCTTTTAACTATTGTAATCACTAAAACCGATGGTCTCGAATTTCTAGAGTTTTCATAAAATTAGTTATGGGGGTGTTAATAAATATAAAAAAATATTTCTGCCATGACTTTAATAAAAAAAAACATATTTATAATAATTTCGATCATCTGTGAATAGTTTCTGAAAGTTTCATTAACATCTGACAATTATTTTTTATTTTTGCAAGATTTTCCAAATTAATGTGTGTAAATACAAAAAAAAAACGCGCTAAACATTATCTATGTTATTTACTACCTCTTGTTGCGACAAAAGAGAAACAAGGTTTTTAAATCAAAATTTAGAATATTCTAAAAGATGGAAAATTTTAAAAAAATAAAAAAAAAATTTAGTCTATCCTCTTCATAAAAAAAACATAAGCATTTTGACGATAAAATTTTGTTTTCATAAACTTTGGCGTCTTTTTTCATCAGACTATGCTCTATGTTTTAGCGATTCCGTGGAGTGACTTAGGTTAAAAAACCCAGTTTTTTTGTTTGTGTGTGTGTGTGTTCCTTTTTATATGGGATCGGATTTCTTAGATTTTTCAGCCGATAAAACAAACATCCACTTTTTTTCGGCAGGTAGTATTTCTTATTGTCTTGCACACTTTTTTCTTTATTTACATTCAGAATGCTTTAAAAATTCCATTTACAAGACAATTGTTTATAATAAAATTCTATTCACCAATCGATAGACTCATAACGATTGTAAACAATGTTTTTGTTTGAATTTGGGTTTGACCAATTCGTAAAAAAAAAAAAAAAAAAAAAAACTAATTAAGACATGCGTGTCCGTCAACCTTAAACAATAATCTTTGTCAATTTTATTTTTCAGTCTTTATGATGGTCGATACTTGATCTATCTCTTACTGTTACATCCCGGGCAACGCCGGGCTCTACTGCTAGTATATATATATATATATATATATATATATATATATATATATATATATATATGATGATTTGTGTTGTGTATAAATGATTTCCTTGATTTTGTTTAATATGATTTATTATGAAGGAGATATAGAACAAAAAAAAAGAACGGGAATTAAGAAATGAAAAGATAACAGACGACATTACTTTTCAACTTTTGAAATCAAAGTAAGACAGGAATGTAAAAAGAAGCCGGAAGATTTATGTATTTCTTTCATGATACATCGAATGACGAATTCTTCTTGTTTGCAATTGTTCTGCATTTGCCTGCAGTCAAATTATTAACGTATTTTTTTCAACGACATTCAAACTCAATTTATATTTGCATATTATTTAATTCACACTTCAATAGATGATCTCCCATCAAGAAAGATAAATCTAATAATGGCATAAAATTTTTAACACAAATGTTTCTAGAATTTTGAGTCTTTCTTTGTAGTGAGTCTTATATAATATTTTGATGTTATATATATATATATAAAATTTATATTTAAATTAATGTTTAAGAAAATACTATGACACCAATAAATAATAGTTTCATTATTAATTAATATTTATTGGAAAGAATATTAAAAAAAAAAAAAATTTTTTTATAATAACTAGCAGCATGGCCTGGCGTTGCAAGAATTTAAAAAAAAATAAGATTCATACAGCAATTTTATTATTACTTGACTTAAAATATTTTTTGCCCCTTCCTTGCCTTTAAAGGAGTCCTTTTGAAACACAATGATGTTGCCAGTTATATTTCACTTCTTGCTCTAAAAGACCAAAAATGCGAATATTTTTCTAATTTAATATTCTAAACATTAAAAATGTTACGAAAAAGAACTAAACAAAATGAACACAAAATTTATCAGCTTTAAAAAAAAGGATCGTAACTGGAAAAACCGAATGAAAAAAGAATGTTATATAAATATTTTTCACACTTAAACCCAGTTCTGCGGAATCAGAATCAACGTTGAGTTTAAGAATAAGCTGAATTTATAATTGGATCGCAAAAAAATGCAATTTAAAATTTTCCCAGAGAAGAAGAAAACAGCTATCGAAGAGAAATGCACCAAATTTAGTTAACATTATAAAGTGATGAAAGCTGTTGGAACCATGCTGACCAATAGAATCTTAGAAAAATTAAGTTTTTCTTAGCTTTAGGCAACAGGAAAGCCAGTACAGCTATTTCAAACTACATGAAAAAATTGATCTAGAAGCAATAAAAAAAAATCGATTATTTCCACTAGGATGGGAGTTTAGAAATTATGCAAAGTCGGTCTTAATTAATTCTAAACAAGAAACTTAAGCATGTGCATGTAAATTTTGTAAAACTGATAAAGATTATGGCAGGTTTGTCATTCGTTACAATACACACACTTAATACACGCACACACATCCTGCCTTTTATAGATAGAGATAGATATATAATATGGTGATTCTAAGCTAGATCGATGAAACAATTATTGGATGCAATGAAAAGTAAAAAGTGTAAACTTCTATTTTATTGCTGGATGAAGGCAACACAGTGAGGCCGTTGACATATATTGACTGGTTATATATTAATATTTGTTTGTCATTGGACAGGCAGAGGTAAGATGGTTTCTATGCATCAGTGGACGTGTCTGTCTCCATTCAATTGACGAAAAGCTGAAATGAATTCTTTTATATACATATTAATATTTTTACAGTACGTAAATGCCATATGTACAAGAAATGTGGGTGTAACCATAGTAGAAAAAATGTTAAAGGTAGTTTGTACAGAAGGAGGAAAAATAAAATATATATATTAAATTTCAATGTTTTCATTTGTCATGTATATATATATATATATATATATATATATATATATATATAAATATATATATATATAAATTCATGAATCATTCATACAAAAAAACAAATATAGAGGTTAATGATTTAAATGGCGAGAATACATCTTCGCAAACAATATAAATAAGATACATCAACCCCGAACCTGTATATGAATGATATGATCCCTGTTTATAAATTCCAGTTGCATAAGGTCTTTTTTTTTTTTTCTTTCGTCTGTTCCTACAGACATCATCAGGTATGAAAATAGATTTTGTTCTTTTTTTACTTCGCGGTAATAAGAGGACAACGAAAATAGAGATGTAATCAAAAAAAAATGCTATGAGAAATGTGTTATTGTTTTGAAACGTGCGGTTGCAACGCTAAGTTTGAATTTTAAATTTTAAGGTTGCGTTTGCGTTTTTGTACAAAAAAGAGAATTTTTTACTGGTAGATTTTCAAAAATGTGGTATGAACTATATTGTTCAATAATTACAGTAATGTCACACTTATTCGAAAAAAACGTTGGATCAGTTATTTTAAGTTCAATTAAAGTGCAAATTATAATTTATAAAATCATGAATCATTCATGCACCTTTAATTGAAATTTATATATATATATATATATATATATATATATATATATATATATATATATATTGTATTTATAGTTGCAATTTAAATTTTATATCATGTTAATTTATAGAAAAGAATTAACTATTCAAATTTTAATGTGATTAATGGCGAAGTCACTTAATTTAACAAGACTTAATGAAACATTAACTTACTATCAATACCTTGAATAATAAGATCCTTACATTCGAGTAGTGGTCGGATGGGAGACGGAAACCAAGTAATTTCCACAATTTTAAATTGTCATCCTCAGAGCGCAATTTTCCCATACAGAGACAAACACTAAAACGAAATAAGTGTAAACCAAAAGATGCTTTTTTTAAAAAATTATGCCATTTATTGTCAGTTGAATATATGTTTTAGAGCGGACGATGCCGTGACGCTATAGTTCTTGTTCAAATTGATCAAGTGAGAATTTTGTTTGAATTTTGAAAAGTTATAAATACGAAATTTTTTTTGTATGTATATATCTATTAAAAATTAAATTAGTACATAATATATATATATATATATATATATATATATATATATATATATATATAATAAAAAATAAAATAATTTTTTAAAAAAAGATCCACATTACAATTAAAAACGTTTGCGGTTATTTTGATTTTTAAATATACACACTTTTATATCTGTTGGAACTAGTATAAAGTTTTGTTTTTATATATATATATATATATATATATTATATATATATATATATATATATATATATATATATATATAAAATGAAATGGACAAAGTCCGACAATTATTTTAAGACATTTTTTATGTTTATACATTCTTTTTATAGATACAAATATTTAAGTAAATGGTCTGTTTTATAATAAACAGTATTAAAAACATTTACCGGCCTGAATGTCCGAGAGATTTAAATAGAAAATATTTGTCTTCCGACAGGAATCGAACCTGTATCCTATACGAAACCGTCATTTAGCTTGACGTGCCTTTACCGATTTGACAACAGAGGATCGCTCGATTGGTAAGGTCGATTTTGCTGCTTTTAAACTACAATCTTCCATGAATCATGATTTTACTTAAATATTTATATCTATAAAAAGAATGTATAAACATAAAAATGTTTTAAAATAATTGTTGGACTTTGTCCATTTCATAATGTGTGACGTCATTTGTTTACATTTGGATACGCATTGAGCAGATATGAATGTATGTAAGAGATTCATGGAAGTCACATGGAGGACTGGTTTTTATATAAATTCCTTTATATCATCTTTGATGTGCCATGTCCCTTCAGAGCGTAGGAGATCATGGCTCTCCACCTTCTCCAGTCCCTTGTAGCTTCAGTAAGCTTTGTTTCTCGCAGACTATATTGTACCATACGCCATTAAATGTCACGCGTTGCAGGTTCGATGTTGCTTAACTTCCGTAACCGCACGTGAACCGGCTGTAAGCGTAAGACTGAGATAGATATGAGCAGAATTCATAGACCCAATTGCATATACATGTTTGCACCAATTGCATGGGGAAGATTTTGCAAACGCAAGAATAAACCTTGTTACTATTTTAATCAGGAAGCAAGTAGATAGATAGATAGATAGATAGATAAAGAACAAAACAGGAAAATGTGCAGACACAGTCATTATATAGCTAGAAAGAGATAAATAGAAAAAGATCGATAAGTAACAGGCTATGATAGATATATAGATAGATAGATAGATAGAATTTCTGATGAGAAGATAGATAGATAGATAGATAGATAGATAGATAGATAGATAGATAGATAGATAGATAGATAGATAAGAACAGACTGCGATAGATAGATAGATAGATAGATAGATTTAATAGGAGGAGACAGGTTCGACCATGGTCCGTCCTGTTCACACCCTCGCCTGTCCTTTGAAAAAGAGTAGGTGTTTTTTCCTTGTTTCTATCTTAGGGTTGGGTTTACGGTGCCTTCTAAAGTCTACTTTAACTCTTTGCTCCTAATGTCTTCGTCTGAACTCTGAACTTTTATTCACTAATTAAATTTTGATCTATTCAAGTCTCGAAATACCAGTTATATTTCTTGCAAAGCCTCAAGAATGTCACTTCTTGTCCTTTATTTCGCTAATATAACTCCACACAGTAATCCTCTAACCTTGAGTGGCCCTTTTGAGAGTTTGTATTGGGGTGAGCATTATTAAAAAATAGAAATAAACAGATAGATAGATAGATAATATACTAATATATATATATATATATATATATATATATATATATATATATATATATATATATATATATAAAGAGATAGGTAGATAGATAATGAACAGCCTTAGATAGACAAAAGAACAAAATAAGAAAAATGTGTACTCAGCTCGTTATATAGCTTGAAAGAATTTAATAGAATAAGATAGATAAGTAACTGGGTAAGATAGATAGGTAGATAGATAGATAGATAGATAGATAGATAGATAGATAAGAAGAAAATGTGTAGACACAGTTCTATATATAGGTAGAAAGAGACGAATAGAATAAGATAGATGAGTAACTATCTAAAATAGATCGATAGATAGATAGATAGATAGTTTGACAGAAAGACAGTCAGACAGACAGATAGATAGATAGATAGATAGATAGATAGATAGATAAGAACACGATAAGAAAATGTGTAGACACAGTTCGTTATATAGCTAGAAAGAGATGAATAGATTAAGATAGCTAAATAACTGTCTAAGATAGATAGATAGATAGATACAATTCGGCAGACTGACAGACAGACAGACAGATAGATAGATAGATAGATAGATAGATAGATAGATAAGAACAATATACGAAAATGTGTAGACACAGATCGTTATATAACTAGAAAGAGATGAATAGAATAAGATAGATAGATAGATAGATAAGTAACTAAGATAGATAGATATGAACAGATTGAGATAGATAATGAACAGACTGTGATAGAAGGAAAGAGAGAAGGAAAGAAAAAGAAAAAAAACATTCTAAGCTCAAAAAGGAAATGTTGTTTTCCTCTAGAACAGTTCTTACTTCCGTTTCCATTTATTGATCGTTCTCTTTAATAATGTTTTTTTTTCTTTTTCTCATATTCCTTCACGCCCATTAAAAATTTTTGTATCTTATGTACTTTTATTGAAATTTTGCTTTGAGCGGTGGAATTATTAAAACAAAATTTTTACTTCCTCCTGGTAAAGCAACATATCAATAGCTTGTTTTTTTCTTGTCTGAATTTTACTGTTCTTTTTCCAATGATTTAAATTCCCATAGAAAATTAACTGCTGAATAAAATTCATGCAATAGTTTTAGAGAACACGAAGCAACGTGAAATTTAAAAAAAAAATATATGAAATACATCTACTGTCAATAAAACCCGGCGAAAAGCATGCGCAGAAAGACGTTCTACATGTGAACGCCTACTCGTCTAACATGATATACCGTCTATTTTTTTAATTTTTTTTCTTACTCAAAGAAGTACAAGTGTATATACACTTTACGTACGCTTCAATATCATAAGAATCCGTGACGGCAGGCATAAACAAGTAGACTCGTATATAAACTGTATAAGAGTGGTGTTTGCTGCTTTTAAAGGTGACTATTTAATCCCATTTTAAATTATAAGAAGACAGAATGCTTGATCACCAGCAGAAAGATGAGCTTAAAATACAAATTACAGGTCGATAATCCTAAAATCAAGCATGTAAAGAAATTTAAATATCTGGGAATTGGTCTAACAGAGAACGGAAAGTGCGATAACTGAGACCCGAAGACGTATTGGGATGGCCAAAAATGCTTTCCAAAAGCTAAGCAGAGCATCAAGAAACAGGAAAATTTCGTTAGAAACAAAGAAAAAAAAAGTACTGAATCATAACTGTATGGCAGAAAATGCTGGACAATCTCCTCGAAGATGAAGAAGACAGTCGAAGCAACATAGTTCTACAGAAAGATGCTGAGCATACCATGAACCAAACATGCGAGCAACGACGAGGTTTTAAAGAAAACGGGAACGAAAAGGAAATTTATATTTAACATCAAGAAAAGGCAGTTGAAATTTCTGGGACACATAATGAGGAAAGAGGGCTTCGAAAACCTGATACTCACAAGACAGATTAAGGGAAAGAGTGACAAGGGTAAGCAACGCTTAACATACTTGATGAGGTTGAGTAACTGGATGGCAGAACAGGATTTGGGAGAAATAACAAAAAGACAAAACTTATTAAGAGGTACAAGGGACTGGAAGATGTGGAGGGCCATGACCGCCTGAAGAAACACGGCATATAAAAGAAGAAGAATAGAAAATGGTTATATTATATTCACACCAATTTATTAAACTACGCTTAGTTTGTCTTGCTTGTTTTTGTTTAGCGACATATCAAAACCTCTATGGGTTATTAAATGCCGAAATCTAAATATTTTGTACAGAATTTTATTTATTTCTTTTTTTTTTTTTTTTTTTTTTTTTTTTTGAGATAATATTAATTTTAATGTTTTATGTCTTAGTAATTAACTCGTAGCTGGCTGGAGAGGGGGTGGATTTTTTTCATTTTTTACAGTTTATCTTTCTTTTGCCAGAAAATATTTTAAGATTGTAAGAAATCCTTTTAGAGATAACTAGCAGTAGAGCCCGGCGTTGCCCGGGGATGTAACAGTAAGAGATAGATCAAGTATCGACCATTATAAAGACTGAAAAATAAAATTGACAAAAATTAATGTTTAAGGTTGACGGACATGCATGTCTTAATTAGTTTTTTTTTTGTTTTTTTTTTTACGAATTGGTCAAACCCAAATTCAAACAAAAACATTGTTTTCAATCGTTATGAGTCTATCGATTGAATAGAATTTTATTATAAACAATTGTCTTGTAAATGGAATTTTTAAAGCATTCTGAATGTAAAAATAAAGAAAAAAGTGTGGAAGACAATAAGAAACACTACCTGCCCCCCCACCCCCAAAAGTGAAGTTTTGTTGAAATCGGTTGAAAAATGTAGGAAATCCGATCCCATATATATAAACGAACACACACACACACACACACACACACACACACACACACACACACACACACACAACCTTGGTTTTATAAGTATAACTTGATATGAGTTATCCCCTTTCATGTCTCTTAATCGTGTTTTCAAATATATATTTCAGATCAAAAAACAATTGTGTTTTTTCCAATTTTGGGCGCTGTTAGAACAATTTGCAAGAAATTTTACGTAGTCCTGTGAAGTTTTGTTGAAATCGGTTGAAAAATGTAGGAAATCCGATCCAATATATAAACGAAACAGACACACACACACACAACCTGGGTTTTATAATAAGTATGATAATGATTAACTGATACAGGTTAGTCCCACTAATTAATCCATAGCTGAAGTGGGAATAGGTGGATTCGTTTCTTTTGAAAGGATAATTCCCCGTAAGTGAATATAATGAACCTAACTGGAATTGGAACTCGGCTCTCCGATTAACAATTCCGAACCTTTATTCATTGCACCACCTTCCCATCCAAACTTACAGCACCTGGTATTCCCAAGCGGTCACTCATCTAGGTAGTAAGCAGGCTTCGTTGCTTAACTTCGGTAATCGTACGAGACTCGGTGAAGCTCGGCTTAGAAAATATCGATAAACGATACTTGGTGGCAGAGGGAGTTGAATATATCAAAACCATGCTCGTGTTTGAACCAAGGATACCAAGTGCTGATTTTCAAGGTAAGCAGGCAAGTTGGTTTCCCTTCAAATATTGGCGCCATACTGTCTTCCTCATTAAGCCTCACGATAGCGATCATCTTAAAGAGAACCTTAACAATTACGGTCATAACATCACTACACGTACGGCCATCCATAATATTAATTTTACATTATTTACATTGTTCGGGCTGTTGGCCTCATTTTTATTGTCATGTTCACGACGTTTCGACCGTTGTACGCTATGGCCTTCTTCCGGTGATTAGAATTTCGAACTGAACGCTTTATTTAATACAACGGGGTGGGAGGAGATTGTTTTAGTTCCACGTTCTATGCCTCTTCCGGATGTGAGATAACTGAGACATCTGGAAAAGACATGGTCAAAACGTTGTGAACATGACAATAAAGATGAGGACGACAGTCCAAACAATGTAAATAATCCAAATTATTACGATACCTCATTTCAGAAATATAGACAGATATAGTATTAAATGTTTTAACGGCAAAACGAAGCTTAGCCTTTTCAAGTTGGATTTAAACTCAGTATTGTTTTAGACTGGTTGCCCCACCAAGGTTAAAGAGGTTAGTTTGCCCTATTATTTATCAAAATATGAACTAAAAGATGTCTTTATAGAATAGTTGCTCTAACAAGCTTAAAAAAAAGACTAATCTATTTACTATTAGGTTGGTACAAAAATAATGACGTAATAATGTCGTTTTTTGATGTTACGTCAAAAAACGACATTATTACGTCATTATTTTTGCACCAACCTAATATTTACGAGTGTGTGAATTCAGAGCTCATCGGCCGGAATGCTAAACGGACTCTATTATATATGATCGGTTGACTTAAGGAATTAAGCAATCGTTCTCAATGCTTAAGTAGTGTCAACATTAATATCAGAGATCATATTATAGAATCTGTAACCTGTTAAAGTCCTTGGGTTGCCACGTGAAAGGGAGATATAGGAGCAGGAAAAGCGTCTGTGGCATGATAGTGGCATAGAGCCCTACCCACTTGAGGCTAAAAACTAGAGAATAATCCTTCTCCTAGACGCGTTTTTTCTAACAAGGCAGAACATTCCAGCCTGCGCTATGATTTTACGGGTGACTTAGTTCGGAGTTGTCTTTTGTATGATATATATATATATATATATATATATATATATATATATATATATATATACCCAAGTATATAATTGGTGTGTACGGAATGAATTCCAATAACCAACAATTACTATTCTTAAAAGAGTGCTCAGTACAGAGTAGAGCAGATATAATTATTTATTTAAAAAATTATAACATAAATATGTTATAAAATCACTACAAAAATAGACATTTTGTTTCTACACCTCCGGTGTCTTATCAAGTGATGATGTTGAATGTAAAATAAACATTATTTATTTATTAAAAATTATTTAAATTATTTATTTAAAAAATTACAACATAAATATGTTATAAAATCACTACAAAAATAGCCATTTTGTTTCAACAACCCCGGTGTCTTATCAAGTGATGATGTTGAATGTTTATTAAAAATATTTTAAGTGATAGCAATTGCTGTATGAGTCGTACGATTTTTGAATCAAGCACGGGCTAGTAAGAAATAAATATACTTTATTATACTGTGATACTCGTCGCATTCATATTTTTGTGAATTAGGCTTTTCTGCTCTCACTACTATTATATGCAAAAAGAGTGGAACTCTTCAATGTATTGAGGAGGAAATGAAAGTTTGCCCATATATACGTCCAAACTTCAAGGTAATCACTAAGATTCACCAGGCTGATGTTTCTCGTGAACATAAGAATGAATAAATTGAATAAATTTCATTTAATTCTTTTTTTATTGTATTATTTCTTTTTATATTTGATTTATTATAAGATATTTTGCATTTTATAGTGCGCCTAAAATTATTAGTTCTCCAATATTTGAGAATTGTCCTTTACTAATCACCATGAATTTGACTTCATTATAATATATTTTCCGAAATTTATATATAGTGCGCCTAAAATTATTGGTAGGATTTCAAATTATTGGTAGCATCTGAAGTTTTAGGACTTCAAAATTAGAAGAATTAGAGATACAAAATCAAACAAATACAATATAAATATCAAGGAAGTATCTTAACAGAGAACGAAAAGTGCTCTTCTGAAATCCAGAGGCCCATTTGGATCTCGAAAGATGCCTTCAAATTGCTAAGCAGATTATTAAGAAACGGGAAAAAATTCACTAGAAGCAAAAAAAAAAAAAAAGAGTACTAATATCAGCCCCCTTAAATGGCAATGAATGCTGGCCAATCTCATCACAGATGAAGCGGAGACTTGAAATGTAGTTCTACAGAAGGATGCTGAGGATACCATGGGTCGAACATATGAGCAATGACGAAGTTTTAGCGAAAATGCAAACAAAATGGAAACTTGCACTTAAGATCAGGAAGAGTCAGCTGAAATTTCTAGGAAACAGAATGAAGAAAAAGGGCTTGGAAAATCTGATACTCAAAATGTAGATTGAAGACAAGAGGGACAGAGGAAAACAATACATGACCTAAAGAGTGAACTTGAGCAAATGGATGGTGAAACAAGGTTTAGGAGAAATAAAGAAAAGTCAAAATTTATTAAGAACTATGAAAAACAAGAGATTGTGGAGAGATATGATGTCCTGATTCGGCACAGCAAATACGGAGAGAATACGTTCTTGGACTGCATTTTTTCCGTCTTCTGTACCTCGACAAAATGCTCCGTGTCTTTTGTATTTCACCTCTACGATTTCTTATCGTTTCTTTCTTCTAGAAGATTTTGAATGCTTTGGCATATACCAATGATTCCCAACGCGAGGCGGATGCCCTACCGGTGGGGCATGGTAATATGTTGTTGGGGTATACGGCTTACTATACCAACAGAATAAGGGGGCAATTCGAGAATGAGTTATTAACAGTGAATTGTTTTCTAGTGAGTCTGAGTGAGAGGGTTTATGTTAATGAATGTTAATACATACAATGCATATACAGTATGAATATATAAAAATATTTTGTGCTTATATACGTACATGTGTAATTGGCACACAGGGTATTTCCCGTCTCCCCACACTCACGTATCTCGGTCAACAAATCAGAGGGCGTGATGCATGTCACTGGAAGAGCCCATGTTTTGTCGGCCAATCAGCGCGTAAGGTGATGCCGTAATGCATGTCACTGGAAGAGCCCATGTTTTGTCGGCCAATCAGCGCGTAAGGAGAGGACACGATGCATGTCGCTGGAGGGACTTATGTTTTGCCGGCCAATCAGCGCGTGTGAGCATTTAGTTTGCTTCCTTCGCGTGAATTGCAGTACAATTTTGAATATGCGAGAATTAAATATTACTGAAGGAAGACACCAGAATTTTAGGAAGACCAAAGTGGGATATTGCCCCAAATCGGTTGAGAACTACTGGCTTATAACGAGTGATCTCTATGACAGTGGAATCGATTGCTTCATTGAATTCTCTTCATCAAAATGTTCATCTCATACATTTGGTTACAGGGTGCACGCATTCCATGCATTTATAATAACTTAAAGAGGATGGAATATAACCGTCTATTTTTTCGAAGTTTTGTCATGAAAATTGTTGTGTAAACGGGCATTTTTTAAGAGGAAATGACAAAATTCTCAATAACAGCAATAATATAAACAAGAACAGAGTAAAAGAATATGGACAATGTAATACAAGACAAGGAAATAAGGCAATAACAAAGTAAAGCATTTATAACACAGTAAAAAAAAAGAAACAGTTTTCAAACGGGATACAGTCATATGGTTATAATCTACTGACTAAAAGTAAAAAAGAAAAAAAAATGTGTAGATTAGACCAAGATGTGTCTATTTTTACTGACTAAAAAGAAATCCCAACCTGCAAATATCATGCCCCAGAATTGTTTATAAATTCGCGGAGGACGAATTTTAGCAGACATCCCTAGGGATTGACCAACAGAAGGAGGAATGCTTTCTCTGCCATTTCCTCTCTTGTCGAAAACCTCTGTCTCCGGGCGGAGAACCCAGACGAGTCTATGTCGAAGCGCACAGTCTCGTTTGGGGAGGTAGACAAACCCGACCGCGTGTATACCGGGTCTACGGGTAATTTGTGCCCGAGTCTATGGAATCAGAACGCACCCACGTTTGAAACAGGCCTTGTACCACATCTTGCCTTGTGGGGAGGTTGGTAAATAGAGACATTCCCAGAGATTGGATTTGAACATGCAAGGTTCAATGGGTCAATTGTCGTCATTTTATATTTTTAATTTCGCGCATGCGCGTTGTTTGTCTTTGATCCGTTCTAAAGTATTTTACCTGAACAATAAAGATTATATATATATATATATATATATACATATATATAATCTTTATTGTTCATATATATATATATATATATATATATATATATATATATATATATATATATTATGAATCAATTAATTTATAATATTAATGCTTTGTAAATTTACATTGAGCACTATTTTGTAAAAATAAAAATATCTATAAGAACACCGGATTATATATCTTACTGTTCTTTATATATATATATATATATATATATATATATATATATATATATATATATATATATATATGTGTGTGTGTGTGTGTGTGGAAAATCTATAAAGGATATATATATGTGAAAAGTGTGTGCATATAAATATATATATATATATATGTATATATAATATATTATATATATTATTATTTATATATCATATACGCGGTACTTATTAGAAAGCGCTCAATATCAGAGATAGAGTTAGCATATTTGGTTGGATTGATGTGAGTTTGTGACCCTGCGTTTCACGCTTTTGCGATTGACCCATGTTTCGCTTGCTATCTCTGGCTACTTCAAGATAATGAGTGCGATGGGTAAATTGTCGCCAGTATATATTTTTTTAAATTTCGCGCATGCGCGTTGCTTGTTTTTTATTTTGTCAACTGAATAGTATAATAGGTTCAGATGAGTACCGTCTTTGAAAAAGAAAAAAAAAAAACACCATTTTTTTTTTTTAGCCAGAAATTTGGAAATGGCATGCTGCACTGCTTAGTATTTCCGCCAGAAGCATCAAAAGGAACATTTCCGATTTTTGGGGTGTCAAATGATTCCTAAAGAGTTGGATGAGTCTAATGGTGATTATGAAGATCTTGGGAATAATCGCTAACATTGTCGATGTTATGCCTCCATTTATCTTCCTACAGGGCCTCAGATTCAACAAGTGCCTCTCGGCCAAGAGGATGGCAGCTTGGAGACCCTATATCTGGCAACAGGACTCTGCACCATGACGCACAGGCTGGAGAAACCAATCATGGCTGTCAGACAATTTCTGTCACCACATCAACCCTTATATCAGGCCACCTAATTCGCCATACTGCAAACTCCCTGATTATTATGTCGATGTTTTAATGTGAAACGTTTATTCTAATTTCACAAGACTCAGTTTGTTGAAGTAATCCACTAACTTGATCCAAGGCGTTGAAAGTTTACTACCTGGCCTCATCAGAGGTGAACAAAAACTTGGAGAGTCAAGTTACTAAAGGGAAAGAACTGAAACTGAGATATCCAGAAAAGGCATGGAATGTGGAACTAGAACAATCTACTCTGGTGGACGAATTAAAGGATTCGGTTCGAAATTCAAAACTATATCAACTGAAGAAAGCCAGAGCGTACAACGGATGAAAGGTCGTGAATATGAGAATAAAGAATGGGACAATAGTCCGAACAATGTATGTAGTGTGTATTAGTTACAATATCTCATTTCAGAAATATAGACTGATATTCTTTTATTTTACTTTTAATTAAAATTTTCCATTTTTTAAACCTTTTCACGTTTTAACATTTTTTGCTTTTAAATTACATTATTTTCCCAGTTTTTATTGTCTTTTTTGTTTTTTTATTTTTTATTTAAATTATTCTTTATGTTTTGTTTTCTTTTTTAGCTTTATTTATTTTTATTTTTAGTTTAATTTTTATTCCGCCATTTTTTGGCGTTTTTCCTTTTTTTCTACGAAGCAATTTATCATTTTCTTTCTTTCTTTCACTCTTTCTTTCATTCTTTCTTTTTGCTTTCTTTTCTTTCTTTCTTTCTTTTTGCTTTCTTTCTTTTTTTCATTCATTCTTTCTTTCTTTCTCTCTTTTTGCGTTCTTTTTTTTCTTTCTTCCTTGCTAGCTTTCTTTCTTTTCTGTCTTTCTTTTTTCTTTCTTTTCATGCTTTCTTTCTTTCTTTCTTTCTTGCTAGCTTTCTTTCCTTTATTTCTTTTTTCTTTGTTTGCATCTTTCTTTCTTTTTCTTTTATCTTTCTATCTTTCTTTTCTTTCTTTCTTGCTAGCTTTCTTTCTTTGCTTTTTTCTTTCTTTTATCTTTCTTTTTTCTTTCTTTCTTTCTTGATAGCTTTCTTTTTTCTTTGTTTGCTTCTTTCTTTCTTTTTCTTTCTTTCTTTTATCCTTCTTTTCTTTCTTTCTTTTTTGTTTGCTTCTTTCTTTCTTTTCTTTCTTTCTTTCTTTTTTCTTTGTTTGCTTCTTTCTTTCTTTCTTTTTCTTTCTTTTTTTTCTTTTTTCTTTGTTTGCTTCTTTCTTTCTTTCTTTTTCTTTCTTACTTTTTAACATTTTTTCTTTTTTGCTTCTTTTTTCTTTTTTTTTTTTTTTTTTTTTTTTTTTTTTTTTTTTTTTTTTTTTTCTTTCTTTTTTAATTTCTTTCTTTTTTTTTCTTTCGTTTTCTTTCTTTTTTTTCTTTCTTTCTTTCTTTCTTTCTTTGTTAGTTTCTTTCTTTCTTTTCCTATATTATTCTCCATCCCGAGCGAATTAAGTAGAACACTTCTTTCGGGACGGTCGTCAACAGAAAATATATTCACTCTTGGCAGGAAATATAATGATTTTCAAATAAGCCTTTATTTGTTGTTTCCCTTGGTTGGACCCGAGTGCCCTCTTCGTTTGTCTGAAGCAGATGGGCACCAACATCAAACACCAAACGCCGTTACTCTTCAATAAATCAAATAGTCAATAGCCGCAAAGACGGTCAGCAAGCAATCAACCATTTTCACGAGTTGTAACGTCATCGTTCAACTTGCCAAGTCAAACAAAATAAGTCGCCTGAATTTAACTTGCGTGCTGTCGTCTGCTCTGTTTATTTGACATTCTTTCTTTTTCTTTACCTTGTTACTTTTGATATAAGTTCATTACGATTTGCTCGGAGGAATCGGAAACCTGTGGAGAATTGCAATAATGAGGCCCATTGGGACTGGGGAACCGTTTTTAACTCTATTGTTACTGTCTAACGAAATGTCAAGCCAGGAAGGCTGATACTTTTGGCCGATAACAGATTCTCGTAAAAGATTACTTTTATGTTCTGGAAACTCTGCGGCTGTACCTTCATCTTTGCACTAAAGAGGGAGTGTCGGTACATCCCAATGACAGTACGACAGTGTGGGCTGGGCAATTTTTGTCATTGGTTCACGTGTATGCCTATGGGTACCCCACGTTAAACCGACCATGTGTCTCATCCTACCACTGTGGCGAGGTCGGCAAATACCGATTTTATCTACATATGAATCAGGTTTATCAATTTTATATTAAGATTATATTTATGTACACACACACACACACACACACACACACACACACACATATATATATATATATATATGAAGAAAAATATACGGGAAAACAAACAAAAATCCTAATATGCAATTATGCTGTTTTAATTTTAATATAATGTCAACGTCGGACGTTTCGGTCTAGTAGACCATCTTCAGGACATATTCATAAAACATAATTAACATTAGACTATATTCAATTCAACATAAAAAGACGATGGACATAAGAGTAAGACTGATCAAAACAGATAACTTTTTTTGTCGGATCTATATCCATATATTTACTTACACACACACACACACACACACACACACACACACACACACACACACACACACATATATATATATATATATATATTAATAAATATAGATATTATCCCGCACAACTAGCGTTGATGGATAATATGTATATTTATTAACATGTACTTAATAGCTCTGTTATATCACATCGAGCACTGTTTTATTAACACCAGCACTGTATGTGCGATATATATATATATATATATAAAACTTTGCTTATAGACGCTTCCCTGCAGCTGAATGGTACAGCATGTCAGGTCAAATAACAGTTTCCGTATAGGAATACAGGTTCGATTCCTAT